GACAGAAGAAGGCTGGTGCACTTGCTGCTCTTTACCTTTTGGGGTGGTTTTTTGTGGTTAAAAGATCATAAAATAATCAAATAGCATCCAGTAACTCCTACTCAATTTCTAGATTTTAGTGTTTGGGTTTGGTTTTTTTCAGAAGACATTTAAAGTTGTTCAACTGAGTTCCACAACCTGCCTTTCATTGCAGAAGCATAAAAAACTTTCTATTTCAGTACTACGTAGCACTTGGGAACCTACAAGTTGGACACTTGTCTGCATTTCCTTTTGTCTTTTTACATCATACACAGGAATTACTTTCACTTAAGATGTTGTAAGTAAGACCACAGAGCTGGAGTTTTTTGTACACTTGTCTTGCAGCTCCCTGTTGAGAGGAAAAGGGGCTGTGTGGTGTGGTTCATTAGCTGAATCTCAGGCTGGAACAGCAATCCTGACTCCCCAAACTACTCCTTGTGCCATGATCCAGGAGGTCAGGCACAGATTTGATTCATTTTTTTAACAGATGTTAACACATCAACTTCCTACCTGGAGAGGAAGGTGAATAAGAAACAGAGAAAGGAGTATGCCTGCTTTGGGAAAGTGTTTTACACAGCACAAGCCAGTGACAGACAGTGACCCGAGGCAGAAGGAAAGGAAACGGGAAGTGAAGCAGCTCCTACAAACAAGAGATAAGGAAAGCTCTCTCTAACTACTGCTTCCAGGTTGTGAACAGGCCAAACACCAGGCTTTGGAAACAGAGGGCATGGAGTCAAACACCTTAAATGTTACCCCTCCCTCTGCTCCAGCGTGACTAACACCTGAGGTTAGAGTGCAGCATACTCAGGCAGTGCACCTGTTTTACCAGTAATTTTCATTACAGGTTGAGGACAAACTCTCTTTTCACAGTAAACAACTTCTGAGGTTATTTGCAGTCAAGGAAAGTTTCAAATGCATTTCTGCTGCACAGAAGATAGAAAAGGATAACAGATGCTTTGCCAGAAAATTATAAGCCACCAACTGAAGGCCTTCTTCCTGATGGCATTGATCATTCCTGAAAGAAGTCTCTTAGTGTATAATGATCTTATGCTCGTAATGAATTTACCAAAAGCCTATTTTAACTAGGTGCTTTCAGTGGGCAAGGAGGAATACATGTTCACACAGACAAGCAAGCAGAGAGAAGCCATACAGTTAGTACTCAACTCATATGTCCCTGCTTGTCTTGCACTCAGGAGCAAAAATAAAGTAAGTACAAGTTGTGACAATATTTTTTTTTAAAGGCTCCTTAACTCTGCTTCTGGGAGGCAAGTTTCAGAGGAAACACCCACAGGAGTCATGCAGATTACAACACATCCTGCAGTACACGTGTGTCAGTACCTCCACTTCTGTCCCACTTGTTAAAAGCAGCATTGTCCCCTCCCCTGGAGCTTGTTGGCAATACAACTGCTTTGTACAAAAGGAACAAGTTTTAACTGAACTTTGCTGGTGTGGACTGTGATTTTGCCAGAAAGAACAGCCTCAGCCACTCCAGAATTCCCACTGTGGCAGAGCAATGGCTTGTCTAAGCCACTTTTCCTCTTTGTCACAGTAAGTACGTAGTTCTGCTGGTTTCACTTTGACAATACATAGAGGAAAATGAAAAGTTTTAAGCTTAATGCAGCTCTATCAGGATTAAGTTTGTACACTGTCTTTCAAGCACTCTTTGTTGCAAATTTACTGGATTGAGTGATGTCACATAAAAAAACAAAATCAAAACTAAGCATTTCTGGCCTTTACAGTAAAGTAGCACAGGCTGAACAGCTCTAACTGTCCGGCACCATGACTTTCACCATCCCTTCCATAACAGTCTTCCCACTTTCTCTGACCTGACATGATACTGAAATGTGTGCAATAGAACCCTTCAGCCGTTTCACTTCTGCTGCAGCTGTGACTTCTTCACCAATATACAAAGGAGCTGGAAACCGGATCTCCTGGGAGAGAAATATACACCCTTGACCAGGCATTTTAGTACCTAGAACTGCAGAAATAAGTCCATTGATCAGAACTCCATGTACAACAGTTCTCCCAAACCTAGACTTCTTTGCAAACTCTTCATTTAAATGCAAAGGATTTGTGTCACCTGTTAAGTAGGAAAAAGTAACAACATCATTCTGTGTAAAAGCTTTGTTAAGTTCAGCTTTGTCTCCAACTTTTATGTGTAAACTTTGAAGTACTGGATGTCCAAGCAGTGAGTTGACAAACGTTAGCTTTGTCAAGGCTCTTCGTCGGAACATTCCTCCAGAAACTCCTCGCCTGAAGGGCTGCAACATCTCCAGAAACTTCTGCTTCGTACAACCAAACCAACAACCACATTCAGTCTAGGACTAGTTCTCTACTGTTGCCAGACAATGCGAGAAGAAATGGAGATGTCTGTTTTGGGGAAAGAAAAAACAAACAAGAACAAACTAAAGCCTTGGAAAAAAATCACCATCAAACGCACTCAAATGTGAAAATACCTAAATTTTCCTTTTACATGAAAGATTAGAAACTTAGAGCTATGCCCTAGCAGATTTTTGTCCAGCCATGGCTTCAGAGACAAAGAATTCTCAGAATTCCTTTTATTAAGCAGCATCTTCTAGAAAAAAATAAGCTCTGGAAGTGCACATTTGTAAGGTCTGTCAACAGTGATTATTAGAAAGAGAAGAAATGGGGCAGAGGAAATAAAAGACAGGACCAAGATGTGGACCATAAACAAAACCTGCCAGAAATTATTTTCTTGCAGGTGCATTAATGACATCAGGACTTGTCATGGGACTGAAACCATAAAGGAATGAGACAGCCTCTACCATCACATTTTACAAGATTCATTATAAGGTGAGAACTGCTCAAACATAGGCCCACACACCTGCACTTAAAAGCATTTCACTCCCAAACCAAGGCATTTTTGCATCTAGGCCACCTCTCTGTGAAGAGACAGCATGCTCAGACAGATAGCCAAGTTTCGAGCCAGAACTGACATCTGGGGGAAGCACCAAGCCCTGCAAGGCTTTACCTGCAGCACCCGGAAGGCACACCTCCTGTTCTGGTAGAAGCCCAGCAAGGTTAGAGCACTCCACAGCTTGACAAGGCCACTTAGTAAAACGAAAATAAAATATACTATTAAAATTTCGTTTTATCAGTTTTCCTGCAACATAAACATCTTAAATAAAAATAATGTTACACTAAGAGTAATGACATCTTAATTGAGTTTAACAGCAGGTAAATTCACCAGTAAGTTCTAGTAGCAACACTATGTCCTGAAGGGGTATTGCAGTGGCTGCAGTCTCTTTCTTGTCTTTCACACACAGATATGTAATGTAACCTCTTCAAGTTCACTTTACCAGTTCTTGTTTTCTCTGTGCATTTAAGCTCCTTCTGCCCCTAAATCACCTGCAGTTGTCTTCACTATTTACAGTAACCATTCTGATCTTTTACTGTAGAAAGAGATCTAAAGCCACACATTTCAACGGTGCTTAGTTCCTGTCTTAAACCATTTAAACCATTCAGGTTTAAAGCAGGAATAACATTGATGCAGGAAGCTACCAAGCCTTAGTAATTACTTTCTGCATGCTGATCGTAAATATCTGCAAGTTAGGCTTAATTCTTCAAAGACTATTCTTAGCTTAGAACTTCTGGCTTTCTTACAAAAAATATTTTCATAGCAGTATCAGAAGCATGTACCGACTGCACCTTACCTGCTAATAACTCTTAATATGGCAGACAGAGTTTTTTCCTCATATGTTAAGACATCAACAGGCAAAGCTGCTCCAACCTACGAAAAAAATGTTATTTAGTAAGTTCCATCCTATTCTCTTATAGTGGTTTATAAGCAAGTGATTTCACTCCCAGCATATGACATCATGTTAGTTACACTCAAATCTCAAAGGAATATTTCAGTTACAAATAAACAGCACCTTTTCTCTCAGAGTTCTTTAGCTAGAAGCCACTTATTTCCACATTACAGCTGGAAAAACATGGACCCACAAGTGATGTGACCTGATTAAAGTTACCCAGCAATACTGTAAACAGAGCAAGAACAGTAGTGTGGATTTCCCATCCGCAAAGCTTTTCCCTATATATAGCTCTCATTCTAAAGCCTCCCTATAGCAAAAGCATCAATACTTCAAATTCTAAAAACCAGATATAAAAGAACGGTTTGAGTTGGAAGGGACCTTAAAGATCATCTCGTTCCAACCCCCTGCCATGGGCATGGACACCTTCCACTAGACCAACGTGTCCAAAGCCCCCATCCAGCCTGGCCCTGAGAACTTCCAGGGATGACTGGAGCCACTCCACCACGGACACTAAACTGAGACGTGCAGCCCAGCACCACTGCGAGCAATTATAACGTGGGCTGGGGAGCAGGTCCGGTTACGGGAGCAGCAAACCGAGGACACTTCTGTCTCCTTGCCTGCCCCTCAAACCGTGCCCTCCGCTCGGACACTGCTCTGCTGTGCCGGGGGACAAAGGGCAGGCAACCGGCCGCTCCCCCAAGGCTCTCCGGCCCGGAGCGCCGCCGAGAGACGGACCCCGACCCCAATCCCGACCTGATCCCGGTCCCACCTCTCCGTGCAGCTCCCCTCAGCGCCGACACCACCAGCTGCTGAACTGCGGCGGCGTTCGGCCCGGCCCGCCCGCCGTCGGGCAGCTCCCTGCGGGAAACAGAGGCAGAGAGGGTCTGGGGGTCTGAGGGGTCTGAGGGGGTCCGGGGTCTCTCGGGGTGGGGGGGGGGCTCACAGGCGCACGCGCAGATAGTGGTGCCGGGCGCGCGCCCCGCAGCACGCGCCGCTCGAACGCAGCCGGCGGCGGCTCCGCGCGCCGGCCATGACCGCCCGGCCCGCCCCCCGGCGCGCGCCCCCCCCGTCTGGCCAATGGCGGCGCGGGGCCGCGCGCGCCGCCTTTCTGTAACGGCGGCGCGCGCGTGGTCAGCGTCGCCCATGGCAACCGCGCAACGCGGCCGCGGGCTCCAACGAGGGGGGACAGCCAAGCGCAGCCCTGCAGACGGGCGGCGTCCGGGTCTGACATGCACCTCTGGGAAGCTGAGGGGACAGATGGTGTTTCCAAGTGCTACACGCGAGGTTTTCGCTTCGGAAAGGCAAATACTGAGCGCTGCGCCACAAACACGCTGTTGGGAGAGCGGCACGCAGAGATGCTCCTTCGCTTCCCCTTCAAACAAGTGTGGTGGTCGCGATGCAGTTCCCGAGGCAGCGTGGTCCCGGTGAAGGTGATGCCTGGCACCGTGACAGGTCACAAACACTGAGGGCACTGTGTTATCCCAGCCTCTGTTTTGCAGTACACGCAGCTGAAATAGATTTGAGAAGTGCACAGCACGAGGCTGGCAGATCAACACCTACTTGAGAAGGTAAAATAACACAATTTTAGTACCTTGTACCTGATCTAAAAATTGGTGTGAACTATCTCCTCGGGAGAGAAACAGCTGAAAGGATAGAAGTATCTCTGCTCCGCCAAAATGATGAAACATTAGCCCCGGCAAAAGAACCTCACAAGGTCTTCCTTCTTTTACAGAAAGGTTTACCTAGGAATTGGTATCAGCGGCAGCAGGATAACACTGCAATAGCCTGATCTGATGTTTGAGTCATGGCCCAACTCGAAGGACACCAGTTGCCTCTGCCATCACACTGCTCAGTCTGTGCAAAGGTCCTGTGTTATTCCAGCAGAGCTTTCTCATGTTTAGCACCACAATCCACCTGAACTCCACTCCCAGACTGACTTAAAAACTGTACATAAAACACCAGACATTCAGAAAAAAATACTTCAGCAAAAGCAAGTATTATTTCACATGTACCAAAGTAATTTTCAGGTTGTTAGTTAGGTTAAATAAAAGGCAGTTGTAAAATTCAGTACATGTAAGCGCAGGCCAATAAGAGACCCTCAGGAATATAATGTTTCTTGTGGAAATCAAGAACCAGTTACTGCAATGCTCAATAAATCAGTTCTATGATAATCTGGCAAGACTTAATCAGAGCAGCCAGTTCTATTGGGACCGACATTACCTACAGAAGTTGGTATTACTTTTAAGATTAGTAAAATTTTATCGCCAAACAGCAAAACTTGGAGGTCAGGTGCTGTATAAATCTCTTTTGGTTATTGCAGTAGGGCAAGTGCTGCTCTCTCCATGAGGCTCTGGCAACAGGAGCTACAGGACCTGAGGCACCCCAAGTGCATCCAGGGAGCTGCTGTAAGGCTGGGGCTGTGTCAGCTGCAGTGAGTCAATAACGAGCACACACAGGACTGTACAGGAAGGCTGGACACAACAGGTCAGTTTTTTATTAACCAAAAGTGAAGCTGAACCCCAGAGTGGTATAACTTGTTAAAACCATATGGTTTTATATGGTAGATATTTTTCTTTCATGTTCAACACTACAGTGCAAGAACCAAACTTTGCAGCTGTTCATCCTTTGAGAATCAAGTACTAAAAGTAAAATGAATTAAGATAAGGGTCCCTCAATGAATTAATTAAAAAAACCATTTAACTCAAAAGAACAGACCAATTTTAAGAACTGTCTTATTAAATTTTCCCAAGTGAAAGACCTTTAAAAGCACTTGGAGCCTTGAGGTAGCAATTTAATGCAGAATTCAATTCCCCTCCTGCCCCACAGAGGAAAATTAGTAGCGCATTATTAACTCCAGCCAGCTAATCTGAGTGTCTCCTGTGAGGTTAGTGACTTTCTCTTGCCTCTTGAAATAGCAGTGGAGTGCTGCAGAGCTCCAGGAGGAAATCCACAGGGAAGGCCTCTTGAAATAAAATATATGGTTTGAAAAAAGTTAAAATTATCAGCAATAACCATAACAACAAAAATTATCTGGAGTGAAAAAACCCGACGTGTTTGTATTTTGGCAAGACTAGTTTACAAATACATGTCGAGAACAAGAGTCTGCTTTCAGCCAACAAAAAAGAAAGAATGGAAGTGACATTCAAAGGGATTTCAGGTTTTGTTGCCCTCTGTGCAAAATTGCACTTTGTTTTTAAAGTTTTATTTTAAAGTTTTAAGTTTTGCACTTTTGTTTCTAAAAATAGAGCACTTTTGCCCTTTGTTGTTCTTTTACATTTTGAAACCTGTGCTGTGACATTAGACAGAAATACCATATGCCAGGATATTGAACCACTGAAAGCTCCTCTCACTGACTTCACCACAATCACAAGCAGGGGATCACAAACAAGAGACTTGTCTTCCTCTAGGTCTCGAAGACATGATCCTCTGTGCCCACTTTGCTGCTGAGTTCTTTTATTAAAAACTAGATCTCTCTCTAGTGCCAATTTCAGAGACTCCATGGCAGATTTACTGAACACTGAGCAGTAACAAAACACCTGGGCTTGTTCTCTACAACAACTGCGATGAACAGTCAAAGTGAAGAGGAATGAGCTGAGATACAGCTCAGCTCATGGAGCAGGATGGGGCAGATGGTCACAAACACATGCTCCACTTACTCCCTGCACCACTCACACCTTCCAGCTTTGCTCACTGCTGGTGCTCTAACCAGATTCCTGCAAATATTGAGTATCACACCATCTTCATGCTCCAAAACTGTACAGAACAGGTTGGTTAAACCACACCAAACTAATCAGGCATATTGCACATTAAAGCTCTTAAATGGATTCAGCTTTCTTAGCTCATTCTCTTTCAGCTCAAGGTCAGCTGCCTTTCTACACCATGGAATGCTGCTGCACAGACCCTGGGTGCAGGATAGCATTGCCCACTATGCCTTTGTTCCAGGGAGCCCAGAGAAAGGCAAAACTTCAAACGCTTGTTCTTGCTCACATGGGATCCCAATTTTCTGATTTTATATTCTCATCTTTTCCTTTGACTTCTAGAAGCCATCAAATCCTCCCTTCCAGGCAGAAATATCTCAAGAATCTAACATCTGCTTTGCCTGGTTTTTGGTTAAGCTTCAAAACAACTGTCCATGTTTGCCTGTGCTGAGGTTACAGTCTTGTCCTGCAGGAGAACCAAAGACTGTAAGAACCAGAATCCATCTGTAAGGCAGCCCAACCTGCCAGGCTCCTTTGGATAAAGGAGAGGATATTCTGCCTGGGAGCAACAAAGGCCAGCTGGTGATTATTCACAGCAATTTTCTATTTAGTTCACATGACAGTTTAGGCAGCACAGAAACTCACACTGGTTCAGAGACAGGTTTATGTCTGGTTCACAGGACAGTCACGAGCTAGCTTCAGAAAGATTCCTGTCATGGACCCCAAAGTGTCTAAAAGTTACATCTGTTATCATTGCAAGAACCTGATGAGTGAGTTTTTTTCATCTCTTCTTGGGATTTTTTTTGTTCGTTTGTTCTGAGTTTCTTAGGGCTTTTGTTTGCTTTTTAATTCTGTAATCAAAAGAATTATTTTTGTCTTTGGTGTTAAACCTTGGAAGCATGAATGAGAAGTACCTGCTGCTTCTTTGGCTGTAATTTATGACAAAGAAACAGCCGAGGAAAGCAAGGGAAATTCACTGTTCTAAAATACATGCAGTTAGAACAGCCACTAGACATCACAACCAGGACTTTAATAATATGGAAACACCGAGATCAGTGGTGTCCATTACAAATCATTTGCATTATATAAAAATATGACTGAAATTACAGTAACTGGACAACAGCCATTCAAATTGATCAACTTTCCATCTTGCTCATATTGCAGGAAATGGGAGGGAAATCCATTGGGGGGGGGCGGGGAAGTGTCCAGAAATCAACTTAGAGTTGCTGCTAAGCATCTCGTGCCTCAGAGAAACATCCACTGTGATAACTAAAAGCAGGAATTCAAGATTAGCATCCTTCCATTCTTGCTCACATGGCCATGAATAAAAAGAGCAGGTTCTGTTACACTAGCATTCACAATTAAAATTTTATAACCCCATAAAACACCAGTACGTTTTGCATGAGCTGCGGAAGAATGCAAATTCAAAGGGTCACTAGATTTATTACCTCCAAAATCAATGTCTTAATATAAATATTCTGTTTGTACACCATAAAAATGTCCTTCTTATGGTCTGATTCTTATTTAGATAATACTCTGATAAAATCTCAGCCATATGCCAATTAAGGTCATTAAAGCCATAGAAACAAGAATCTACCTAATAAATGCTGCAAATTTAACAGGTATTTTAGATAAACATGATTAGCTTAGTTATCACCTAGACCAAAAAGACTCCTCAAACACACCAACTGCGTAGTTAGCAAAGACATTTGCTTTACAAAGTCAAATGTTGCCAACTTTTGAAAAGTTTAGCAAATCAATGTGGTATTTGGAAGCAACCAAGTGTCTAATGAAGTTAGAATACTGTGAAATGTTAGGACTGGGGGAAGCTCCTGTAAACAAGTACAGAAGTAGTCTTCATTTAAATTACAAAACATTCACCTCCTTAAAAAGCTTTAAAACTGACCCAGTCAACAACTGTGCCCTGGGAAATCTAGCAGTATAAAGGATCTCTGTAAGCAAGAGAAGGTCATACGTTGTGATCTCACCACCATAAAATGTACTCAGTGTCAGGAACAAGGAGCAAGTTTGGGGAGATGACAATTATGACACTTTCAGGCCATTTGATCTGAACCACTGCACTTTTTTGGGCAGCATAGAGTAAAACAATTTTCTTTGCTGCTCAGAAAACACTTAAAGTATAGTAATGCTTCATTTTCTGCATCTGGTTGCTAAGCAGACTCTCCTATGTCCCCAGCTCGGTTTACTTGGTTTAAAGAGCTATTTAGTACCTGCCACTTTCAGCAGGTGGACAGAAATTTCAGTGCCATCTTATTCACTGGCTCCATTGATATTTTAACTTCAAACCCAGATGCTACAATTAAAAGCAAATTTGACATTGTGTAAGGAAAGCATCAGATGAAGGTAATAAGTCCATGAAAGGCCTGTATTCCACAGGCTGCCTCTGCGGAACAGGCAACCTCCCACTACAGAATCTGATTGGAAAATTTATCCCAACAGTAACACTCAGAAGGAAGGAGGCTTCTATATCTTGCACACTTTGGGTTTCATATCAGGCACTTGAACTGTTGGA